CATTTCTGGCATTCATTATTATTAATTGAAATAACTACGAAACATTCTCTATTTTCTAAAGTCGATCAATAATTGGTCCATGAAGACATAACTTGGCCACGAAAAAGAAAAGGTCATATTACGTCATCGGAGGGAATGAGCTTCCCATTTTTGACCTTGGCTGCTCAACCGCCCCATCTGCGTCAGTCGAGGAAAAATCGATAACATTTTCCGATTCGATTTGAAGCGAAACGGCGAAAAGGAGGAACAGAAGGCGGCGCCGCGTGACGGCGCAACGTGTTTGAATCGATCGGTGCGCGAGCATGGCCGTGTCACGTGACCATTGCGCCTCGAAAAAACGCCGTAACGTCGCACGCTTGTGAATCTGTATCGTGTGTACTGATATGTGTGTTTCGTGTGTTCGATTTGAATGACAGCGAGGTTCACGTATCCACGATCTTCTCTATCTTCGAGAAATATGTCGCTAAGCGCGTGAAAACTGGCGAGTCGCGTGTTTTCGATTGAAAATGTGAGTCGGGACGAGGAATCGTGGAATTGAGCAACTCTTGGCCGGAAGTGATACTGATCAGGGTGAGTCACTGTCACGATCGATTTTGTTTTCTTTTCTTGTATTTCTGCTCCTTTTCTGATTACGTAGACCACGGTCACGGCTACGTGTCGTATTTGAGATCATCGTCGTGAATGAACATAACCTCAAAGTCACAGAGAAGCGTCAATGCCGCGAGGTTAGGATCCGTTGTATCGCTGATATCGTCGCTTCATTCTGTGAATTTTCGATCTATATCGAATGATTACTCGGTTTAGATATAAAAATTAGTATGACGATCGGAGATATTATTAAATGACGCAATCTGTGGCAATTTCGTAACAGATTCGCATCTATGAATTATCGATATTCGTTACGTTGATTATCACGATTGCCGGTATTTGCTGTATATATGATATTCTTGAGTGTGTGAGTACTTTTAAATTGTTCACTATATACATCTGCTTCTATGTATATTATTGGAGCACAGACCGTTATTTATAATTAGTCAGAATATACATTTCTATAGTCTTAATTCTTAGTTTGTATGTACATGTAGACATTTCTTAATCCTTCTTTTTTTTTTTGTAACATGATGATTCTTACGTTAGTTACAGAAATAACTATCCTGAAAATTAGCTAGATAAAAGAAGACAAAGAATATATCATTGTACGCCACGTATTATATCGTATATACCTACGATAAATTCAGATACGTAAATGCATGCAATTTAAGTTCAGATAAACAAAGATAGACTTGCAATTTTTTGAAAATCGAATACTCGAAGGACAGCCAGTAATGTTACGATAACCAGTCACGTGCCTAATTTGACGCCGGCCGGTTTAAGAATTTCCATCGAGCGAATCGTACAATCCAACGACTCGTTCGTACCGCTTAATAGGGTCAATTAACAAATAATTAAGCTTAATACAACCGAGAACGAAATTCAGCAGACGCATGTTTCTTTCTTTCGTTTTTCACGAGTGTTTTAGTTTCGAAATACCTTATGAAATCAATGAAATTGTGAAAGAATCCTATTCTTTTTGCCCTCTTCGCGCTCCTTTGCCATCGATAAATTTATACACTTGCACTCGTTTTGTTAACTTTAAAATACTGTGTTTTTACAATTTGATCCAAATCGATATCAAGTTTAAAATGCGACTTTAGAATTAACGACTGTCTCAGCGAATTTCTAGGTAAACACTCTTGTTTGTCATGTATGGCATTGAATAATAAATATATTACTAACGTATATGAAAAACTAACAAGACCTTATATCGTATGGCAATTATAATCGATTTGTTGAGGTAACATGGCGCGTACGAAATAAAACATCGAGTCACACCTGTTACACAACAGTCTGTACATTCAGGACAGAAAACAAACGCCTTTCACATAATTGATCAATAAATCGGCAAAAATTGATTGGTTAGCTTCGTGATGACCTTGTGATTTTATGAACGTTGCTTGCGGCGTTCACGTGTAATCGAAAAACGAAATTTTTCATCCATGTGTCGATATTTCGAAAAGTTCGTATGTATTGATCAGAGAGCCGAAACTTACATGTATTAAATAAATATTTAAAATGGCTTTGTCACAAATATATATATATATATATATAATGTTTCGTTCTGTACTTTAATATCACCTCTATCTTTAGCTCGATTTTCAACATTGTTATTTTCAAAAACTTCCACAAAAGGAATCATACGCGTGAAACATGTTTGATTAATTAAACGTTCCTCAGTTTGTTAACCATCAATTCTCGTATGTTTGCGTAACACCGGCTGAATTTCAATTTCAAAATTACTCCAATTCCACAGGGAAACATGTTGAGTTAGAAACCTCGGGAAAAAAGAATTCGTGAACAAACTTACGAACAATTCTATGTTAAACAAATTAATTCATTGATAGTTCTCAATTGCACACACTTTTCAAGTTTTGTATCCTTGAAATCGCTCGGAGGGTAATTTTATATACTATAAGGTCAAAGGAAAATATACTCTTTTCTCATTTGAGGCTACGATTTTTGAGAATATCAAATTTAAAAATTAATCGTGCTCGAATTTAATTAATTCTGAATTCTAAACTCTGCTCCAAATAGAGTCTGTACAAACAAGAAAGTCAAAAATAGAAAGTAAATTTTCAGTACTGCATTTGCAAAAGAATTAAGATTTCTTATTTCTTGACATCAGTGCCTTCAGAATTATCTTGCCACGTGTTCAATTGGTAAATTTTCAAGTTGAAATTTCCCTAGAAACAAAGTGCCTTATGAAAACATTTTATTCGACAGATGTCTATGAAATTATATTTGTTCTCGCTTGTTCAGTTCGAAATTGAACAAATCCAAAATGACTTGCAAAATTTTCAAGTTTTAAACGGAGAAATATTATCCCTTCTTTCGACTTATTTTGCCGTATCATTCCCTAACCGGTTGTATCAGGAGTTCAGGAACACTTCATAAACTTCAACAACGCTCTTGACATCATCTTAAGAATATCTCAAGCGAAAGAAAGTCGTCGAAAGTTTCCATCATATATCATTAAATACGAAAGGGAGCATGCGTGATGCGCGAGTAGTAAAAAATTTCAAGGAACACGTGATTCATCACAACCTCTCCACAGTGACATTTCATTATGAAAAGTAGTTTATGTTAGGCTAAAAGTAGTAAAGGATCGTGTGGCACGTCTTCGAACTACAATTGACACCCATTATTCATTACCGTATCGAGCATTATTTGATCACGTTGACGCGATATCCGGTGTTGAGAGGACTATCTCAACACTGTGTCGCTGTGTGACAGTGCAAGTATTGCAGCACAAAGTATCACGACATTGTCATCGTCACGTTTCCTCGTGATTGGCGGTATGTTTCAGATCCCTGTCGACTTCCTACGCGGCAGAAAACCATTTAAAACGTATGTGGTGGTGGGGTTCAGAAGATAGTCAATGCCTCGTGGTCTGGTCGTGTTTCAGTGTCGGCCGTTCTCCTCGTACGAGATGATTTCTTCGACTTCTCGACTTTGTCTTTGATTCCTTTTGCTTGCTGCCAGTCATCGAGCGCCGATTGATTTTAACTTATTGTTAGTCAGTTTCGTTTCGACGCGGCTGTTTCTCTCTTTCGAGCCGCCATCAACTCGAGAAATTTCATTTTTATTATCGTTGATATCGACACCTCTAGGGAATATACTCTGTAACGCAGGGAATAGAGTCAGGTTGATCGAATTTTAATTGAATATTAACGCTTATTATTCAACAGTCTGCATTGTTTCGTCTGGGTAACGGGAGCAAATTGGTGATTTTGATTTATTTCTGAATCACTTGCAATACTCTGGAAAGCACTGAGTGTTCAATCATTTTCCGCGGATATTTTGTTGTCGCGAGTAGTGTAAATTGAGAGTGGAAATTGATCCGGGAAACTGAAACTTGAATTGGTTCTACGTCGTTGCTGTAAGTAATTCGTTTCTTGGCTCTCTTATTTATTATTCGTGATCGAACTGTGCGAACAATGGATGCGAGTGCTCGCTGATTTATTTTGTAATTTCCATTTGATATCGTGTACACTTCCTCTTTTATATTTCGCACACACGAACGTGAAAATACGAGGATAATTTTTTACGAATAACAAACAGTAGCAACTTTTCTAAGTTGTGTACCTTTCT